ATCTGAGATGTTGTAACTTCTACAGATAAGCAGCGAGTGCAACGGAAATAACTGAAAGATTGTACTTGAAAGGGGAAAGGAAGGAGACGAATCAAAGGAACACAGATATTCAGCATAGAAAAAACCTTAAGCTTCGCAGAGAGCCGTTTTGCCCTCCGATGTCAAAGAATACATGTATATGTTTTGCAGCCGTATTCATCAACGAACCCTAAGGGCAAACCTTACCCTCGGGGGTACTGTTTACCTTTACTGTTCGTTGATAAATACTTGATTTCCGGGGTAATTTACCCCTCAAGGGTAGGTTTTTAACCTTTGAGGTTAAGCGTACCCTGGCTACGTGAATATGAGTTTGAAATATGTGTTTGGAATGAAAGTGGAAGAAAAGATTTTTGAGTAGTACCAAAATTCATTTCTTGTATCAGGAAAGTTTTCTAATTTCGATTAGTCAATGTAATGTGGAGACATTATAGCATCCAAATTAAAGTTTTCCTGTAGAACTTTTTTTTCTAATTCACTTTCGCGGGTGTCTGTAATTTGGGATCAGGGGTGGATACTTACGAGCTAAGCCTTTGGAGCACTCTAGAAAACCCTCATCGAGAGGTGCCATCCCCCAAACCTAAACACTTGCCAAAGCTAGCCTGTGCGAAAATGAATAGTCGCTGAAATCAGCTTGGCCCCTGAGGCTTCTGTTGGGCTACACTATTGCTCTCTTTTTGTTCTGTTGTTAATTTGCCCGCATACGAAGTAATAAAATATGGCATAGTGAATTTCAGATTGACGACACGGTGTATGTGGGTTCGCAGGATGCGGTAGCGAACATGAATCTGCTCTGTAGGTTGAATATCGAATTCGTCTGCGATTTGTGCAATGAAGATGGCGAAGAAGCAAACAGGTATAGGTTGTTCTTATCATTGGTCCCATCTGCATACCTCAGTTATAGAAGGCGGTATGACTGTCCATGCTTATGCCCGCGGAGGTCGAAACATTTTCGATATTTCGTCGCGATGGATGTACCAGAGACAGAAAAGAAATGTATTGATGTAAGGCTGAATTGCTAGTTTTTAAGGAAAAAATGCTGGTCTTTGAGGAAAAATTGATTTACGTATAAACAATTATTTTTCAATCGCATATTTTTCTTTGAATGTCGAAATATTTCACAATTCTTCAGTCCAAGGTGAACATGACGATACTATTCGACCAATTTTGCGATCTCGTCGAAAGGGGAAGGAAAGCAGGAAAGTGCGTCTTGGTGTGCAGCGCTAAGGGAAGAAATAGGTAAGTGTAAGATTATCTTGTCTTCTTGTTGTGTGAGGTGATCTGCATTGATTCTAGAGCGCCTGCATTTTGTGCAGCGTACTTAATCAGCAAAGAGAGGATGAGTCGACAACAAGCAGTAGCAAAAGTTCTAGAGCAGGTAAATGCACTTCAGCTGATATTTCTTGCACTAAAAATATTCAGTTGCTAAACATGTGAAGTATTGTTAGGTCAAAGAGATGACTTTTGAGGTATAGTGTGGGTGTGGCACGTGACCTTGTTAGGTCTCTCCTTTACCAGCTTTCCTAAGCTGCGTCTAATGGTACGTGCCAGCGCCGTGTCAGCTCCATCCCAGAACCTTGCAATCGCGGTGTTGCCGGGATTGTTATATTTTTTTACTTCAAAAAATACGGTATATACCTCTTGAATAAGCGAATGGCACAATACTTCATATGGTCAGCGCGTCCACCTCACTGAAGGCTTTGCGAAAGCTTCGGCATTTTCTAATTAGATCGAAGAGAAAGAGGAGAAGCGGACACGTATTCTTAGCACAATTAGCAGTGTTATACAGTAGTCACGACACGGTATCAGTAGCAAGTCCGCCCTATATCATTCCACTCGGCTATAGCTAGGTTGAACATCAGTATCCCTTCAACAAGCTTATCGATGTTGGTTTTTGGTTCCTAACCTAATTACGGTAAGCTTGACTTACTCTACTCTCTAATCGGCTTCATGACTCCCTCTCTTAGCTCCCCTTTCCCGTTCTCACCCCAAAGCAATCAGGCGTCACATCCCAATGACTCTATTCAAAAAGCTCTCCCAGGAGAGAAGAGAAACAAGACAGATGTAAGGTTTTTAGATGAACACAATGCGACCAGCTCCGAACATCTCAGACTTCATGCAGAGGGCTCTGATGCGGTACCAGGCTTCGAAGGGCATCCAAGGCGCGCCCGACACCACGCACACCCTTCCGCTGTTCAGCATCAAAAGGACGGCCTGGACCTAGCACAAGCGAAGAATCCTCCGCTTGCTTCTCGCTCACGTCAGCTACCACATCTGACTTGTATTAATTGCCTATTTTTGTCTTCTCCTCAGCACCTCAATGCTATCTCACTGTTTTTCCTCGGTGCCATTTTAAGGTAAAAAATAATGTGTTACAAGCCTCAACCCGCTTATGCAATATTCTTCTACGCACTCATATCATGTGACAAATAATATAGCTGCGATCATACAAATTTTGTCTTCCTTTTTGCTTTCTTTTTGTTTTTTCTAATATGTTGCCCCAAAAAAGTAACCAATTGAAGGAAGTAACCAATGTGACCAATTTTCAACATGGACCAAACTCTTTTCTGATAATCAAAGACGTATCCCTTAACATATTCTTTCCTTACTTCCAATTAAGAGGTTGAAAATTGTTGTTTGAATTCTATCTCATTGTTTTTTCTCTTTCTTTGTTTTGTGCTCCTTACCTTAATCGAGGTAACAGTTATGATAAAGTTTTATGTAATGTTAATTATTCCTTTTTTCAATTCCTCTTATAGTCATTCAAGCTCAGCATAGGATGTTACTTTGAGCGTATGGTTTTCAAATCCCATTAATCTATCTACCAGTCTTGGCCTGCGCTACATAAATCAATTGATAGAAGATTATACGTAGGTCTTCATTAGAAATCTTTTAACGGTACTTCAGCAAAGCGTTTGGCTGCCTTCAAAGCGCTGTCACTTAGCTTTCGTTCAGGAAATTTTTTGAGTGTTTCTCAAACTTTCGCAAAATAATCTGAGTTTCTGAAACAGTAGGCGTGACAGCCGCCCCAGTGAATCTCCCGCATAATTGCTTGCAGCAGCGGCCAAGAAAAGTGTAAGAGAAGTACGTTAAAATTTTTAGACTTACCTACAAATACCTCATTAACTTAAGAGAAAACGAGTACCTTTACAGTCGCATTCTTATGTAAGACTTCTTACAAAGTTCCTGGACCTGTTATCGAGGAAGAAGAGCGTTTCACCT